AGGAGATTTTTTTTTTTTAATTCTTAGCCAGTATGCAATATACAACCAGTATGCAATATACAACCACAATTTTTTTTTTAATTCTTAGCCACAAGGAATATTTGGGTGAATTTTTTCCCTAATCTTTGTATTACGTTCAGGGTTGCGTATGGTTGATGATAGGACCGTGGTTAAATAGGAGAAAAATCGTGGGTAAGCTGTATTTTTTGTATCTCAAAGTATTTTTCACATTAAAAAAATGAAAACAACATTATGGAGCGAATTTCTAACTCTTCCATACATATGACCAAAAAAAAATTCAACAAAATAATTGTTGTACATGTAATGTATTAATATTGTATAAATAGTAATTCAATGTATCAGTATTGTATACATAGTGTATAATTATGTATACATGATATATATCTATGTATAAAGAATATACATACATCCATATGCATTGTTTATACAATACATTATATAAAGGGTGAATTTCAACTATATACAATAAAATTATTAATTTACTATAAATACAGTTATGTCTTATTTACATAATAGTCAAAAGTCATAGGAAGTATACAATGCCGAAAGTCATAGAAAGTATATAGTGATTATACAATACAACTACAATAACTATATAATATAGCTTACATATACATGAACTATACACTGACTAAACATTAAGATACACTCAAAAACTGAATAGAGCTAAACTATACATGAAGTATACACTAACTATTTAATCTCGATCAACTCCAAATCACTTCTAAACAGTCTCAAATCTCAGTTACGAAACCTCTCGATGTTTTGAATATTTGATATATAATTTGCTCGAAACAATTTACGTTTATGGTACGTCAAATCTTAAATCAAGCAAGTTTTATTGTGGTATGAAGAGATCACGAGACAAAGTGAAATATACCATTCTTTGATCTTAGAGGTTGTACGATAAAATCTGATGTCTTTTTTATGAGATTTCGCTTTTTCATCTTGTTCTTAAAAGCTATAGGAGCTTGAAGAAGAAGAAGAAGAAAAAGAAGGTTGGAGCGCAAATTACAAATACAAATACAAATACAAATACAAATACAAATACATATATTTTCATTCTATACACTTATAATTATACAAATACAGATCTTATTATATAAATTACAATGTATAAATGAATTTATACAAAACTAAATAATTTGTATAAAATTGGATGTTGGTAGATTATATAAATCAAAAGCTCCATAGCAAACATAAAATTTTCTATGGAGCGCAATTATGCAAACTATAACAATAACATATAAATATGATTTTTATGTTTGTTATATGTGAAAGTTGCTAAAAAAAATAAGGTTGAATGACCATTTTAGGTAATTTAAATAAATTGGGCTAAAAAGATGGTAAGTAAACCTTATGGGCTGACATTTTGCTTAATTTTCTCAAAAATATTTGACCCAATCCTTATTTAATACGGATAAAAATGAGTAAGTTCAATGAATAATATGAATATTTATATTATCCATTACTTCTGTTATGTAAAGAAATAAGTACTTTCAGTTTACAAGGGTGGTGAGTTATGACTTTGTGTAGGCTTAGGAAGACATGGAAGGCCTAAAAGTATTCATAATCCTTTTTTTCATTTGATTTCCACTCGGTGTTTGAATCTGTTTTGAGACTGATTAAATTGGATTCATCATAAAAGTTCCACACGGAGAGATAAAACGTTTCTCATCTAAAGCTAATTCATACACAAAATTTAAATTCAAAATCTCTAATTATTTTCATCTAATTACTCTTAAAGGAAACCCTTCATCTTTCTTTTTTTTGCAATACAAATATAATTTCTATGTTTTCATCTCAAAATAGTTAATTTTTTGAAGTAAAAATCTTTAAATTCTTTCGCTCAATTTGAATATATTTCCTTCAATATTTATTAAGAAGGAAAGAGAAACAAAATAAAAGGTATTTTCTCCTTAAATTATTTTTATACATAGTGTTCAAACTCATGTGTCTTTTAGAATCAGATGATTCGAACTCGACAAGCTATCTTTCTTGTAAAGTATGTGAGGGGTCGAGTGCCCGCTTCTTCCTAGTATCGATCTCACGACCCGTGTACCAATTTCGATTCAACTGTTAAGGTATTATCTATTCTGAAACTAGATTTGCATGAATTTGTCTATTTTCATCCATAAGATGCCTCAACAATTGACTCTGAACTCATTCTTATAAGGTTTCTAACTTTCTTCTCCTATTCCAATTTAAAATTCGTCTAAGATGTAATATGCACTCCTTCTCCAGGGTTCAGAAGCTTGCTCTCCGTCATGAATGTCACCATCCACATCGTGAGATTGAATTATTCGAGATTTCAAAATAGATACTAAACCCCGAATTAAAAAAAAAAAAACTTTCAAAGACTGTTCCTCACGTGACCTAAAGGGAAAAGAGGAAAAACACACATGGTCACAACTCTAATAAATCTAACTATAACGTGGTCTAATCATATCAAAATAATCTTTTTAACTAATTATATCACTTTAATTATTTTACTTTTTGTCTTTTAAATTTTATATTATTCTTTTCTCTATTAACGTCAGATATAACGGCTGCTTTTTCTAAACATAATTGACTATATATCCTATTGCATGATTTAGTGTGAGCTAGGGGTGTGCACTATTCGGATTAAACCGAATAACCAAATCAAATCAAACCAAATTTTTATTTGGATTGGTTTTTTGGTTTTTCGGATTGGTTTTGGATTAATAAATTACTTTGTTTGTTTTTTTGGTTTGGTTTTGGATTTTAAAAAATAAAAACCGAAAAAAACCCGAATTATATATATATATAAAAAGTTTAGGTTTAGAATTAAGTTGGAGTTAACCACTTTTGTCCTTTTTTGGTTATTGCCTTTCATCATGATTACGTTTATATTTTATATTTGAACATCTATAATAGGTATAATTATAAGTATTGTGTTTTAAGTTTACTTATGATTTATATTATAAAGTATATTTAAGAGAATCAATATTATTACTTTGGTTATGTTATTAATTATTGACATAACCGAATATCCAAATCGAAAAAAGCCGAACCGAATAAAGAAAAACCAAACCAAACCAAATTTATTTTGGATCGGATTGGGTTACACTTTTACAAACCAAAAACCGAAAAATCCAAACCGAATAGTGAAAAACCAAACCGAAAAACCGAATGCACACCCCTAGTGTGAGCTAGGTGGTCCAAGTTTTTAGTTTAATTAGCGATGTTCGAAATTTTCTGATTCAATTAATTTAGATTAGTATTATATGGATATCTATCTTAAATGGAAAAGTATTTGTACTAAAAAAATCACTCTTAAAATTTAAAATCGAGATCTGTGATTAATATAGCAAAGTGTTTCAAAGATAAATTCAAAAATTAAAATTTATGAATCCCTAATACATACAATAATAATTTGATTCAAGATCGAGTATTTATGGACATCCACTAGTGGAGGATTTCTGTTTTTATATCTCTAAATCGTAAGAAAATATAATCATCGTAATACTGAATTGTATTTTCGTCACTTTATGTAAACAATTGTTTTTTCACTCTTTTACAATAACCACATATGGTGAAAAAAATATTGAATTTAAGTGAACCATAAATTGTTAGATTTGTTTCTAAAAGGATCATCTTATTTGTTTCACACAAAAAAAAAAACCATGAATTATAAGCTGATAAGTTTTATAGTTAAATAGCAAAATTTATTTTAATCTTATTCAACGACAAAATTAATAATATATTATTAAAATAAAAATTAATTACAAATTATTTAGCGATAGAGTAACGATGAATTTCGTAACTAATTTTCGACAACAATGTTTGGATAATATGGTCCAATTTCTTTTTGCTATTACTACTCATTACTTATAAAGCAACAAAAGATTAGAAAAACCAAAAGAAATTGGTTTCATTATAAAAAGTTCTGAAATGGCTTTTTGGCCCAAATACTTTTTTTTCTCTATCTTTGCTTTTATTTATTTTTTGTTTTTTCTATTTCTTTATGAATGAATATTGCTTTTTCTATTTCCAAGAGATAACTATTTTTTTTATTTGTATCTTTTATTTTTATATTTATAGATTCCAAATTAGGTTTGACCCTATGTATGCTTTTGTTCTTTTTGTCTTTGTGTTTCCTTCAAATATTGAGTTATTGAAAGGACAAAAAACGTTTATATTTCATCATTGCATTTGTATTGATAATAATTAGTTCATAATTTATTCAGTCGAAGTTTATCGAAAAAAATGTGTACGCATTACATTTGATATGTTATTATTATTATAATTCATAATTTGAAATGAAGGCAATAATTGTTTCAAAACTATATAATAAAAAAAAGCATAAGATAGTATACAATATTGAGTTATATGTTGACATGTCTAAACCACATGCCTCTCATGTGCAAGATAGATTTTTCTTATAAACCAAATACATGAATAAAAAAAATAATCAATAATGAATGGTGGTGAAACTTAAATTCGGAGAATTTTTTTGCTCTGTTACAATATTGAAGTGTGTAATTGTCTTACCTAGACGTTTAAAATATATTAATTAAAAGATCAAACATTTATTTACTTAATCATATTCTCAATAATTTATAACGTAGTTAAAATATATTAATTTTCACACAAAATTCTTTTTCTTTAAATTAAATTTCCAATTTTCTCAACTTTTTCTTCTGCAAAAAGCATTTTCACCAAAAGGCCTCTCAATCCACTATAATTGTCAGCTTTTTTTTTTCTTTCTTCTCCAGGTTTTTTTAGAGAAAAAAAAAGAAGGAAAATCCCAAGTTTCATAGAATAACAAAAAGAAAAAGCTGAAAATGAAATCTCGTTCACAATTTTATTTTTCAAGAAAAAGAAAAAAAAATCAATTCTATTGTAAAGTGTTAAAGATATGCAACCCCTTTTGCTTTTGATTATTTTTCCTTTCATTTTTTTAATTAATTAATTCTTTTCTTCTTTATATACAAATATATATACTCCTTCTACTAGTACTATTTCTTTTCTTAGTTTCCAAACATACAATAAGTTTTGTATTAATGGATCCATGCACAAGTTTTTTGCCTCTATTAATGGAAATTTGAAAGGTACTCTTCATTTCTCTTTTATATATATATATACATGTTGTGTTGGTGTTTGTTTTTGGTATAATTATCTATCTTCAGAATATACTGAATCGATTAATTTAGATTCATGTTGTATTTTAAGATCGAAGCTTGATGTATAATTATGGATTCAACAGTACCTAATAGCTTCTAGTTAGTGGTGTAGCCACACATAATAAAGAATGAGTATGTGAACACCTTTCATCGAAAATTGTTATAATATATATATGAATAAAAAAATATGGAATTGTGTCGCATAGTAGGGGCGGAGCTAGATGTATAGGTATAAGGTATGGGTTTGGCACAACCTAATGTTGTAGCCACGTAATGAAGGGTGATTAGTTAAACACTCTTCATTAAAAAAAATAATTTTTTATATTAAAAATCATTATATATATATGAATTAACAAAAAAAAAATTGATTTCGCTACTGCTGTAGCTTAGGCCAAAAACTATGTTTTTTACATTAAGAGATTTACAAAATAGGTATAAAAAATTAATCCAAAACTCACAAACTCAAATTCAAGACCTTTGTTTACCTCGTAGAGCGATATACGAGGATATTTATACTTCCTATTAGGAATTTCTTTGTTTTCAAAACTCTAGCTCGAAACTTTTAATTAAGAATAATTAGATCATATCCTTTGATAGTACGAATCCATAGATCGATTAATAGTATGAATCCATCCATACATACATATAACGAATTCATTATCTATTCTCAAAAACTCGAACTCGAAATCTTCTTTTATGCTAAAAATAAGAGTTCAATTGAATTCACTTGCAACACTCCATGTTATACATGGCAGTGATAAAAGGGACAGATACAAATACAGGAAAAGTAGGGTTTGATCTCAGAAAATATCTGTTCTGAAAATGATTGATATCTGTGCATATATTTTTATATTTATACATAAATATATATATTAACTTATTTAGTTCTTCTTTTGTCTATATTTATGATAAATATTGAACTTTCTCCATATGGGGTTCTTTGCTTTATAGTCTTTAGGATTCTATCATTTCCTTGAGTTCCATTTTGGTGTATAATAATTGTATTAACAATCATTTACGTTGTTCGATTTTTCATAAAATATATTAAAAGCTATGTATTAATCTTTTTTAAAATATATTTTTTTAAAGATCTTTGAATGTGACATCATTTTTAAAAAAATAATCGAGCAACATAAGTAATTAGTTACTTCAATCATTTTCTTAGAGTTCCATTTTGGTGCATAAGAATTGATCTAGGAATTGGTTAGCATTAAATTTATTTCCTTTCTTTTTTACATTATTGATCTAGCAATTAGTTAGCATTTAATTTTTTTTACCTTTTAATGTTTTCTTGGATAAAGAACTATAGTTGTTTTCCTCATTTTAGTAAATCCCAACTCTGTTTTTAAAAATTTATTTCTATATATATTTTTGTTTGTTCACACTTATCTATATCTATCTATTAATTAATGACTAATGAGTTGTCCTAACGAACTATACATGATATAAAGTCGTTTGATAATTTACATTTTTCTCTTACCCAAGCTTTATGAATTGATAGAGAGAGAGTGAGTAGCATACACATTTTATAGTTTTCACCAGCTTTCCCTCTATTAAAAAAATTAGATCATACCTACTCTTTGTGTCTAGGGATTTTTATTAGCAACTAATAAGGGCTCGAACATTTCTAGAATGAAGTGTGATCACAACTTAAGCTCTTGATATACATTGTTCACTTTGGCCCAACAGGCCTCACGAATTTATTTTGGGGATACATCATCATCCATCTGGAAAGTGTGCATACCAGGTAAACGTGTGCTATATCTTATAAAACTCTTCATTTTCTATCTCCGTATGATGTAGTGGGTATTTGTCTAAGATGTAACACATTCCTTTTTTCAAAATCTTGTTTAATTTAAACTATATACAAACAAAAAAAAATATTTTAGTGTTTGTACTAGCAAACTTGGATATTTCAAATTTTCACCTATAATACGTTTATTAGAAACATACTTGACCTAAGTGAGACAAGTTTTAAATCCTTGACCTAATGGAAACAGAAATCTAATAAATACAGTAAATAAAATCACATCATAATAAATGTGCCATCAGTTGTAAATACTGTTCTGGCAGATGTTAGTAATTGCAAATGGGGTAGGAAAATCATGTACCTCTTCTTACATTATTTTTATCTATCAACTTTTAACTCATTACCTAATAATCGGATCCGAATTCAAAATTTAAAGTTTATACGTCATGATAATCCATCGCTTTTTATAAAACTTACTCATTTATACTATTAGTTTGCATCATATTTTAGTCGACTAGCCACTTTTCAGCTTTGTAATAGTAAAATAGTCATTCAGAGTTTCAAATTTCATAAAATAATCGTTATTATGGGGTTTGAAATTTGAAGGATATGATGAATCAATATAATAACGTCTTAGAGTTTCACCAATTGAATTTAAAACAATCTATTTATCCTACAAAACTAGAGGTGAGATTTGCGTTCATTCTATCTGAATTATATTAGATATATTATTAATAAAATAATTATTTGTGTATTTTATTTTTATCTCAATATATAAAATTCAACCAAAACTATTAAATTCTACTGAATAGTATAATAAATAATATATCTGCCCTAGCTTTTATAGTGTACAAAATTCACACTATTCATGTTTTTTATAGAGTTTTTGGCTAAAATCATCCCTCAATTAAGACTCAAATCTAATGTACATCCTTATATTATCTAAGTTAGTAAAAACCATCCTTATACTATCTAAAAAATAACAAAAGTCATCCTTCAGACTATTTTTGTTAGGAAACTGATTGAACCAATAAAAAATACATTTTTTTAATTTGTTCACCATGTCTTAGCTACGACAAGAAGATCAAAGTTACCTAAAAAGGATAAGGATATGCATAGGAAATGAATCTTTCATTCTCAAAATTTAAATTTGTGTATTGTTAGTTTATGTGTTTCTTGCATTATCAAGTACATTGACTTGCAACAATACACAAGTCTTGAAATATTTATATAGTAGGTTCCGATGGTAGAAAGATTATGTAAAAATTCATTTTACAATGCAATTCACATTTTATACAATGTATAGAAATGTTTGAAATTTTGTGAAATTACATAGGTATTTAGTTATGAAAAAAATTTAATTACTTTATTTGAAAATTTTGAAGTTGGAGTTGTATTTGGCCATACATTTTACAAAGAATATTTAAAATTTGAATATATTTTATCTGAATATGATTTAAACACTCAATTTCTAAAAATTAAAAAAATCACTCAATTTGACTAGCTTGACCATGTGTACATATATTCATTCGACTTGACACATTTTTTTGTTGGTGGCTTGAGTTTCTTAAAAAATATAGACAAAAGGATGAATCGTGCAACTTTTTGGATAATATAAGAATATTTTTTGTTCACTTAAATAACACAAGGATGTATTTTAGGTTTAAGTCATACTTTAGGGATGATTTTTGCTAAAAACTCATTTTTATATGAATCAAGTTGCTTTTATCTTATTTCACAAGATACTAATTTCACTTTTTTTTTAATAAATTGTTACTCCCTCATAATTGTTTTGATAATGTATTTTTTTTTATAATTATATAATATTAAGTAAAAATTTATTTTAAAAAAAATAAAATGTAAAAGTTACTTAGTGGGACCATTATTTTTCAAACCTTTTGGGCCCACAAACACTTATTATATTTGACTAAAAGAGTCAACAAAAACGAAGTTTATTGGGAAAAGTAGCTAATTAGCATTCTTGTTTAGTTCCCCCTATTGAGTCCAACAAATGAATGTTGTTAGGCCACAAATTCTTGGATTTTGCTTTGGTGATAGTCTCGAGAAACATAAATAAAGAATATAAAAAATAATTAAATAATAAAAGTTAATAATAATAATAATGAATTATTTTATTTAATTTTATACGTAAAGTATAGAAAAGATAGAATGTATGCCGATCATATTTCTATATTTATGAGATAGAGAATTTATTTCTCATAGATCTTTGATTCTAGAAGGCATAAAACAAAGCATGAAATAAAGAAAAATAAAGACAATAATAGCAAATAAACAAAATTATCACAATATATAATATAATTATTTATTGATTTTTTCTTGAAATTGATGCCCTTTTAGTCAGTAGAGTCAGGTCATCTCTCATTAAAAAAACTTGTACTATAATAATAAATAAATATAATATACACTACTCAAAAGCTGCAAAATATATATATACATTTTGAATTAGTGTTAACATATTGAAAAAAATGACTTATTTTTATAAAAAATAAATAAACTTTGAACCTCCCTTTTATTTATTTATTTATTTATTTATTTCTCGTGTAGTCTTTGACATCTTTATTAAGGCTTCACTAAATTCAGACTAAAACGTTGGAAATTTTCACATTTGAAAGGTAAACGCTCTTTGACAATTGCAACTACATATTCTTAATTCAAACGTGAAACCTCTGATTATAATGAAAAAGTGTTTACCGCTTCATCTTAATTTCTTTCTTTTTTTGGTTGAACCTCTTTTCTTGAATGTGTAATGTGCATCAGTATCTAGGGAGGATAGAAAGGGAAATTAGTAATAAATGAAGGCTAAATAAAGGAAAGAAAATAAGACAGAGATTGCTTGTGCAAATCTAGATAAATTGGGAACTGGACTTTTGAGGCAATATAATGTAAGGTGTGAAGTGAAAAAAATTGGGAAATTGACCCAAGGGTGTTTGTCTTGAGGGGTGGGGGGTGGAGGAAGGGTAAATTTTATTTGTATTAGGTATTTATATTAAATTTATCATATGATTAAATGAGATGAAAACTTAATTATGAGTTGAGTGATATATTTTATATTCAAATAAATATATACTATGTATTTTTTGATTTAGTATAAACATATAACAAATGACTAATATAGTGTTCACTCAAATATCTTTTGAGGGGAGGGTTGGAAGGTCAATTGACACATTTTGAGTACAATTTAAGAGCTTAATAGGTCGAATTTTTAGCTGAAGTGTCTAAGTAAAATATTCAGAATAACCAATCATATTCAACCATTTAAGAAATTCGTCTGAAGTCTATCCTAATGGTCAACTTAAACTTGGAAAACTGGTAAATAATGACCTCGCCTTTTCTATCCCTCCCTACTTAAATACTAGACAAAGTTCGTTCGACATATTACTCAACTTGTGACCTAAGCCTCACATATATTAACCTTTGTCAATTGAGCTAAGAGGGTGTTTGGATTGACTTAAAAGTTGATCAAACCTACTTATAAGTCAGTTTTTTATTTCTGAAAGTGTCTGACAAGTATAAAAAATAACTTAAAATAAGTTGAGAAGTGTTTGGTAAGGTCAAGAATGACTTAAAATAAGTCAAAAACCAAACGTAGGTCTCCCCCTACTTTTTTTTTTTGACTTAAAAGTCATTTCAGTTTGACTTTTTATTTTTGACTTAAAAACTATTTTTTTTAAGTCAATCCAAATGGACCCTAAGTCTTGAGGAGAGGATGGGGGGAGGGGGTGTATCTACCTAATTTGATGGACATAGTTAACATGCACCGATGAGTGAAATAACAAAAAACGAAATGAAATAATTGAGGTACAAGTAAGGTAACACGAACACCAGAATCATCTGAAAAAACATCTATAAAATTGAAAGATTTATAAATGAAATAGTCTCAAGCTCCCGTTCGGTCACAGATTTCTGGAGTAGATTTAAAAATTTTAACTCTAAATATTTGTTTCGCCATGAAATTTGAGCAGATTTTGAATATTTGATCAGACTTCCACTTATAAAACTTCAATCCTTTTCCAAAACGTCAAAACACAATTTAAAAAAAAACTCAAATTTTCAAATTTCAACTTTAGAATCTACGATCTCAAATCTTGTTTAGCTTACTTGTTGAACTAAAGAGGTGTGGGGTTTTATTAGTGTCAATCAATGTCAAGCCCATGCCCAAATAACATAACACAAAGCTAACACTATTGGCTTCATTATGTTTGTTTAATAAGACAGATAGTCACACTGTGTTGGGAATAGACATATACAAACTTACAAGGCACAAAGGATTTCTCTTTCAATGTCCTTAAATTGTCTCCTTAACCTTCTTTTTCCCCTCTCTTCCTATCACACCTAATTCCCTCATAGACTTAGTAGTAAGTACTACCAACACATGATTTTAAGGATAGGACAACTTTGCTCATCAAACACCCTCTTTTTATCATAAAGGTTGTGAAGAAAACAAAACAAACAAAGAAGTTTCACTAAAAGGGAGGAAGGGTAAAGGTCTCTTCATTCTTGATAAAAAGTCTGGAGTTCAAATCTTGAAATGAAGTAAAGATCTCTTCATTCTTGACGAGAAGTCTCGGATTTAAATCTTGAGATGGAGCTTTTTTTTTTGGGGGGTAGGAGCCACTAAGTGTTTCATGTAATGGTGTGTAGTGGAATGGTAATGGAAAAGTCTCAAGTTCGAATCATGAGATTTCCTTTGGTAAGGAGTACTAAAACTCTCATAATTGACCTTTTTATTTAGTAGAAAGTGCTAAAGCTGTAATCTTTTTATCGACATGAATCTGAATTAGTTAGAAAATAAAATTATATGACATATAGTAGTACTATATAAATTGCTCGAACTTTTTTAAAATGTTATCGCATCCTACTTTTTGAAGGATTAGACACTTTTCTAATAACATTTTTGAAGAGCCTGAACAATGTATCACAGTAATGATAGTACCTACACACCATTTATCAGCCCCATGTTTTTCACCTTTCTTGGTTCATGTGACACCCCAAAAAATGCACCAAAAAGACAAAATCAAACACCTTTTTATTTTTTTTGTAAATGGGATTCTTTAAAAATCTCATCTTTTTTTTTTGTAGGACTTATTTTGGTGCTGAAAAAAAATTGGTGGAAAATTATCAAACAGTTGGTGTGCAATGAAGGTTCTTGTTGATTTTGGTTCTGTAGATTTCAAGAAAATGTCAGAAATGCAAATGCAGAAAGTACTTACTTTGTGGGTTTCAAAGTTGGATTTTTTCTGCTTAAAATGGATTTTTCCGGCGGTTTTTTCATCAGTTCTTGATTTCCCGGTGGATTGACGGCGGTGGACGGTGGTGATATTGGCGGGGACGGCTCAATCTTTTCTCTCTGAAAATGGTACTTTTGTATATCATTTTGATCTTGATTTTCACTTTATTTTTCTACAATTAATTTTGGTGTTTTTTAATGTTATTTTTGTTGTAGAGAATTTGGAATTAATTGTATTATTAGTATTATCTTTTGGAAGAAGAAAAAAAAAAATACAATTATATAGGGTTTATGCATATTATTACTTGATTTAGTTGCTAAATAATATGACTATAATCATTTTGTTATGTTTTATCTGAGTCGAGTGTTTATTAGACTATTTACCTTTCTCGATACTAAGGGCAACATTATATTCTACTCTTTTTAGATTCTACTAGTAATATTATACTGAATATATTGTTATTGTATGAAAAGATTGATATCAAAGAGACGTTTATTGAATTCTCAAAATTTGAAATGTTACATATAAATTAAAATGGAGGATGTATTTGATTTATTTGTTTCTATGTATAAAAAGGGAATTTGAAACATCAATTTTTATGTTGAATAGTTAATTGTTTTTTATTTTTGAAATTTGGATCTTGGATGTGGGGTAGTTAAACAGTGAGATGATGACATAACAAAGGCTAGTAGATGAAATTACTAGGTTTGCATTTGCTAGAATAGGACAATATATATAGTAGTAGAAATTTGGGTAAAATTTTATTGATATCGAATGTGTATATATATGATATGTATCTTTAAATACATGTTGTTTTACTAAAGATAGCTAGTCGATACATATTATTTTATTTAATTATTATAAATTAACATAATTTGATGTAAATATCAGATGTTGATCAGTTTATCTCTGATTAAATGATGTTTTTTGTTTACATAAAATAAAATGGAGAAAGTTTGATATAGAAATTAGAAATAATAGTATAAAGATTTTCTTTTATGGGAAAAAAAGATTTTTAGTAGTTTAAATCACCTTATCATATCCATACATTGCATTTTATTCTTCCTTTTTTTTTTGGTCAAAATTGATATGTTTAGTTTTTTGTTTAAAATTTGGCATTTTGTTTTCTTCTATGCACGTGAATTTTGGGAGTGATTTTTTGGTTTGTATTTTTATGGGGCCCTAAATTGAGTGAGAATTTTCCATGAAATGGATCATATTTTGGACCTATTGTGATCTTGAAATATAGTTTTGGACCTATTGTGATCTTTGAAATATAATTTTGGGTGACTTTTGTCTTTTCTGAAACTTACAAATTTTATATCTAGTGCTTTGAAATATTTTGTATTTCTGAGTTGTGTTTTCCACTCTCAAAACACCCTGTGGTTGTTTTGGATCCATACATATGAGCCCTTCCTACATATCTAACCAGCTCGCGTGGTTTATTAGTTTCGTTAACTAGACCAAAAGAGTAATTTTGTGTCTTTCATATTGAGTCATTGAAGCAGCACATCGTGTTACAATCGAACACTTTCACCGTGCTATGAGCAGACAATTAGAAAGAGCTAGGGGTGGGAGGTAGAGACAGATTCAATAGTAACGTTATTTTGTGTGATGTGACATCGGGTTCTAGTCGTGTAATCAAATATTTAGATATTTAACGTAGCAATAGTAATATCGTCTCTGTGTGTTTTTATAGATTACGGGTTCAAGTCGTGGAATGAGCTACTAATACTTCTGTTAGGAAAGACTTCCTATGTCACACATCTTTGTGGTGCGACTCTTTTCTAGATCTTGCGTGAACGGAGGATAAAAATGATTTTTCATATAATTGAGGAGTAAATATGAGCTATTTACCGTCCTTGTTTGTCAATATAAGACAGGCCAGAATTTTATTTACCGTGGATATATAAACCAAAATATTTCCACCTGGGTGTAAAACTGTAAAATTGTTTTTAACAATAAAAATAAATAATTGCTCAATAAACTTCCAAATTTGCAGACTGAACATTTAAAATAAAATAAAATATCTTACACTGTATTATCCTCTCCTTTTTTTTTATTTTGGGTCCCATTTTCTGGCTAAGATTTAACTAAATCTGCATCTTCTTTTTTTTTTTTTTTCGAAATTTGTAAAAAACGAATAATAAAAATCCATTGCAATTACCTTCTAAAAAATATAGCAATAGTAATAAAATGTGAAAATATTACTACTAACTTATATATAGATTCTTGAACAATAAATAACTTTTTGGTAAATTCTAGACTCTAAAATCTTGAAATTCCAATGATTAAAAAAAAAAAATGAGCGAAAAAAACGTTTAAACTTGTTATTAAGTAACTCATTCGAGGTTAAATGAGAATACTATGGGGAAAAAAAGGAATTCATTCAGAAATAACATAATTGTGTGCAAAATATTGATTATTTATCGACGCCATCTATCGAGAAATGCAATGGTTATTGATTCGTAGATTAGAAACCTTTGGTAAAATAATCACTTATTTCTCTGTCTTTCTATATTATTTAAATATATCATATTTTTTCTTGTCTTGTTACCTACATTATTTTACTGGTTGTGTCTATCTTGCTATTTTACTGTTGTTAATTTTTTCTTTAGCATATTTTGATAATACATCGTCATGCTGAAAGTTTATCAAAAATAACCTCTACAAGATAAAAATATGAACAAAGTAATGCATATATCTTATTCTTCTTATACCCTAGTTGTAGATATATATATATATATTCATAATTAGGTCATTGGGAACTTTTTTAGGTCAACACCTAGAAATATGATTTTTGTGCCAATTAGAGATTAATCATCACAATGAGAATGTCCACTCAAGTTTCAAACAACAACTTGCGCTAGGCCATAATTACTATGGTTCACATGTCAAAATAGTTTCAACATCATCAAATAATTGATGAATGATAATATGCCATCAAGAGTGGTAGAGGAATAAACACGATCTCTCCGTTATTAATTAGAGATTTCAAATTTGAGTCTTATTATATTTATCGTAGAACACTAGCACTTGATCAATATAATACAAAGTAAGGACTATTATATTATATAATCCACCAGATAGGGTCTAAAATAAGTAGGTGCACTACTTCAAAGAGATAGAGAAGTTGTTTCAGAAAAAATTATGTTCTATTTTGAAATTTTTAGATTCGTAAGATCATTTTAGGTATTGAAGAAAATAATGTCTTTGGTGGTGTTAAAAGTTGGGGAAAAGGACAAATATACCCCCGAATTTTCAATAACTCAACAGCTACTCCAATTTCAAGAATTAATAATATTGAGGTTTCTGTTTTGAGTTCTTCCATCAAAATTTATTTAGTACTCATTTTGCAGAATTAAAAAAAAAAATCCTTCTCAAAAATAAATAAATAAATATATTAGGAAACCAAAAGAATATTGTTGCAGATATCTAATGAAATTTGCCTTTGTACTCATTCAACAGAATTAATTTGTACTCATTCTGTCATATTGCCAATTTTTTTATTAAAAAGAAAACACAAAAAACAACAAAATAAAGAAAAGAAGTACAAGCTTAAAGAGATGGTAAAGAGAGATTTCCTATTTATTTTGTAGTTTATGATTTTCATTTTATCTAATGAAATTTGCCTTTGTACTCATTCAACAGAATTAATTTGTACTCATTCTGTCATATTGCCAATTTTTTTATTAAAAAGAAAACACAAAAAACAGCAAAATAAAGAAAAGAAGTACAAGCTTAAAGAGATGGTAAAGAGAGATTTCCTATTTATTTTGTAGTTTATGATTTTCATTTTATCTAATGAAATTTGCCTTTGTACTCATTCAACAGAATTAATTTGTACTCATTCTGTCATATTGCCAATTTTTTTATTAAAAAGAAAACACAAAAAACAGCAAAATAAAGAAAAGAAGTACAAGCTTAAAGAGATGGTAAAGAGAGATTTCCTATTTGTTTTGTAGTTTATGATTTTCATTTTATTTTTTTACTTGGTTCTCTTCATAGAGAAAAATGCAAAAATAAAGTAGTTTTAGATAACATCCATCACATAATAATTTTTCTAGTACTTATTCCGACCAATACAAGTACCGGATAATTCTATCTGTCAAAGCTTCGAGTAGTATTATCTTTCCTCCGCAGGTACTTAAATCTAAGACTTCATGGTTCTCGATCCAACCATCCTATTTTTCTACTTATACTTGTGTTACATCTTCATTTATCAATTTTTGTAGATTGTTCTTATTTTAGCCTAACCAAATATCTATCGTAATGGAATCACAACTGCTATCCTTTGGGTGTGCATCGGATAAATCTTGCTCTAGTCTAATAGTCAGCAAACCACTCAGGTTCAATGGAATCACAACTGCTATCCTTTGGGTGTGCATCGAATAAATCTTGCTCTAGTCTAATAGTCAGCAAACCACTCCGGAGAGATAAACCGCATTTTATAGTTCTACCTCTCCTTTGGCATTTAGCAACTTCAATATAACCTTGAAAATACGAACAAAAGTCATACCATCATAGTTAACAAATCCGCAGCATCTATGCTATGCTATTTGCACACTTGTACTTGCCTTAAACAGCAACAGCATACCAAGTGACATCCTACAAGTGAGGTATGTGGAGAAGGGGAAGGTAGAGTGTACGCAAACCTTACCCCAACCTCATCGAGGTAGATAAGTTGTTTCTGAAAGACCCTCAGCTCAAGGAATTTTCTTTCAAACCAAGTTATAAGTTATAACTGATAATATGAAGCACAAAGATTTAAGCACACAAGCATCGTCACATTCAATACTGGAAACAGCAAGATAAGATGGAAATAAGGAAGTTTACTAGCCACCAAGTCATAAACATGAAATCTCAAGGAAATCAATTTCAAAGAAAACCATGTTCGATCGATACTTATCCTTTGGCAGCTTCTTGTGTGTATGGTGAAAGTGAAATGAAAAGGACAAACCAGAAAATACCAGTTTTTAGTGGCCTATTCAATCAATATTCCAATAACCATATGAACTCAACAGGCTTCAATGGTTCAATTCTATAGTCTCGCCCCATCAAGATGGGGGAGGGGAGCTAGGGTGGAAAAGAATCATAGTTCACCATCTTTTTCTTTAGTTATACCGAGAAATCCATCTAGAGTCCACCTTTAGGACCTGTTTGAGCTAACCGCAAGGCCGCAACTTTCAAACCTCAAGCATGATGGGGCCGTCCCTCTATTCTTCTCCACTTAAATAGTGGAGTTAGTTCACTTGGCATGGGGATCAACTTGTAACCTAATACACA